GGGAAAAGAATTCGGGACGGCGAAGTAGCGTCTTGCATCTTGAGTAAGCTAACGGTTCGTGTTTACCTGCTCAATTTAGCGGGGAAATATGAAAAAAAAAATTTGTATCACTGCCAGATTTCGCGGCAAAATTGACGTCACGTGACAAACGTACCAATTCAATTTTTCGCTAAATTTAACGGGGCGGTTACACCGATGGCGACGCCAACACCGCTTAATTCGGAAGGGTGCCTAGGAGCTGCGACTAAAATCCATTGTTTGATTAAGTCGCGTTACGATCGCACTACGTCATATTGGCACACATCAAACATACAACCAAATTTCATTTGTCTTTCAATCTTCAAATTGAGCAATTGATTAATTAGTCCAAATACCTGGAATAACTTCACTTTAAGGATGTTAACAATAGTTAACCAATTGCATGAGACTCATGCAATATAGATCAATCAACTAGTGTCTCAGCGAGTACATATAACTTGTTGCTTCCACAACTGAAACGGGCCCGTATATCATTATCTGGGGCTATATTTGCCCGCGTATATGGTGATATATGCCTGTATTTACGCACTTATACGGCCAGATCTGGCAGTATTTGCCCACCTATATGTCGAAATACGGCCGTATTAGTTCCCATATCTGGCGAAATACAGCCCTATTTGACTGCTTATATTATCATATCTGGCCGTATATAAAATATATCAGGGCCATATCTGACATTTTCGTACGGGATAAACTGGCAGACTGTGGTCTACGGTAGGCGCAAGAAACAAGAGGCGAGTAGAAATCTCTCAAGTTTTCTAGAAGCCGCGGCAGCTAACCCTCAACTGAAGCAAAAAAAAAGATTCTTTCAACGTTGTATATCGCTCGAAGGAACCTTACGATCTAGCGGGAATACCGGCAGCTGTGGTAGAAAGAAATTTTACCCGAAGCTAGGCTTAAATCCCAAAACATGCACGCCATCACAAAGACCATCAATTCGCTCCAATAAGGCGGCGAATACAATATCCGTCAAAGTATATGACAGAAAACTTGTGGCACCGCTACTGTCAATAACGTCCATCAGAGCCCCCGACAAGACTGTGGAGGTGGTGGCACACGAAACGATGCTCGAAAATACTTGCCGAGGTGTGGTCCACGAGACCGACCCGACGGAATCACCGCAAGAACTTATTGAAACAATCGTCTGCAGAACACACGAAGTTTTGCACGCAAGACCTCTTGGAAGTCGAGGTTTAGCGCTCGTCACCTTCTCTGGAACAAGGCCACCACGGCAAGTTCTCTATCATGGGATGGTTAAAAGAGTAACTCTTTACATACCGATGACCATGGTGTGCCGAAGATGCCAAGGCCTGGGACACAAAGAAAATGTATGCACACGAAAAGCAAGGTGTCAAGACTGCGGGTGCATTACCCTTGAAAGACACGTATGCGCGAACGCAAGTACTGTGCCAACTGCCGCTCGTCCGCCCACATAGCAACAGATCCCAACTGCCCGGCACGCCTGAAAGCCAACAAGCTACTTCAAGCTAAAGCCATAGGAATGAAAAGCAATGGCAGCCAGGGGACAGGAGGAAAAGGCGGAGCCACAGCTGAGAGTCGACCCCCGGAAGTCACAATAACAGAATACCCTGAACTCCCAAATTCTACTCCAGGCAGAGGAAGAAGCAGGAGCGCGAGCCGCGCATCGCAGCAGCCGTCGGCTCGAGAAACATCAAGAAGCCTCTCGCACAAACCTAAGAAGGTGTCTCACAGTCGGTCGACTTCAGTGCACCGCCGTAGCAACAGCAGGAGGCCTGGCGACTACGCACATGCCCTACACCACCGAAACAAGAAGGGATACCACAGAGATGAAAACGACGAACTAAAATCATGGCAAGAGGAAATCCGAGCCATTGAAGCAGAGGCCAAATCAGGCAAGTCCATGATTCTTCAACTTGAAGCGGAACTTGCCAAGTACAAAAGGAAAGAAGAAGAAGACAATAAAAAGAGGGAAGCTAGAAAGGCAGTCATAACAAAACGCATTCAGGAAACTATGGAAGCGCGCAAGGCAGCCCGCGAAAAGAAAGAACAAGAACGCGACACCTCCAGGCAGGAGATTGTCTGCAGCGTACCAACAACAGAAGAGGAACCCCAACCTCAACTTACCCCTACACAGAACGCAAGCCCAAGCGATTGGGAAACCGTCCTCCGACAGATACAGCTGATGCAACAGCAGATGCGAGAAACACAGCAGTTTCAACAATTCGTAATGCAGAAGCTAGGGATGAATACGACACTACCCCAACATGCCCACTAAAAGAACAAAAGAAGCACCTCTGAGAGTTTTACAATGGAACTGTCGCAGCCTCTCAAGAAGGAAAGCCGAACTACTTAAGAGAATTGAGGACTACAAGTTCGACATATTACTCTTGCAAGAAACACGCACTGATGAAATTGACCTCTCTGGCTACCACAAGATAGCAAACCCAGCAATAAAACGCGCCGTTCCTGCGGGGCGACGTAACAATGATGGGGAAAAGGAGGTGAAGGCTCAGGTTAATGTGTTTATCAGTCGAAAGTTAGCCTTCATTGTCATAAATACAGACAACTGGTGCACTGACTACCAAGAGGTGGTAGCAGTACGAGTCGCACTCCAGACCACTCAAAGAAGACTAACGATTGCAGCTGCATACGCCTGTCCCTCGAAACCATATGATCACTCATGGCTTAATTATCTCAAGGATCAATATCCAGACGACTACCTCATCATGGGAGGGGATCTCAATGCCAGAATCAAGGACTGGGCTAATCTACAGCAAAACCGCAGGACCAAAGAACTTATGGAAGCAATAGAAGCTGGAGGTCTCGAACTCATCAACGATGTTACTAGACCAACGAGACACTCTCTAACTAGCTGTCAGTTAGACACCATAATCGACGTCACCCTGGCCACACCGACAACAGCTCGCAAGATAACCTGGGATATGACGCAGGACGCTTGGGGCAGCGACCACTTCCCCATCATTATGGACGTCGCCATTGGAGGCAATAATCTTAAGCAAAAAAGGCCAACGAGAACAATAATCTGGGACAAATATAGGCAAAACCTCAAAGAACAAGGAGATGTCTTGGAACCATGTCAAATCACCGCACTACTCGCAACAGCTACAAAGATTGCCACAGAAGTAAGGCAAGTCTATGAAGACACGCCAGAACCAGACTACCATCTCCTCGCATTATGGGACAAAAGGACCAGAGCCTTAGAAAAGTACCGACAAGGGAAAGAGAAAAAACACCTAGACAAGGTCAACCGTTTAACGGAAGAAGCAAGCAAATACGCAAACAAATTATCCATCGACAGATGGCTAGGGTATTGCGAGTCCCTCGACGAGAAAACCAACCTTAGAGACGTGTGGAAGACATTCAACTCCATGTCAGGAAAAAAGAAAGGAGTCAGCCCTGTCCCGGTCATCGCACTCCTCTCCAATGAAAAAACTGAAGAAATTCTCAACAAATTGGGAGACATCTTCTTTCCACAACCCCCAACGAAACCGGAGGAAATCATTTACCACCCAACCCATTCGGGACCTGCACACAAGCCGGAAGACTTCCCCTTCACAGAGTGGGAACTCGGAGCGGCGATACAACAGTGCAGAAGCAAGAGTGCACCTGGAGAAGACGGAATTACAGTGCCCATGCTCAGAAACGCACCCCTGGCCACCCGTCTTGTTATCCTCAAATGGTTTAACGAAATCTGGGAAAGCGGGCAACTTCCCGAAGAATGGAAGGTGTCCCTGGTCACACCAATACCTAAACCAGGGAAGCCAGCAACTGACCCCAAAAACGTCCGACCTATTTCCTTGACCTCAATCATGGGAAAACTTATGGAAAGAATGGTACTCGCACGGATTCAGCACAACGCTGAAACCCTCGGCATCTTTCATCCAACGCAAACCGGATTTAGACCGAACTTGTGCATACAGGACAGTCTGCAGATGATATACACAGACGTCGTGGACATGCACCCAGGAAAAAAACAAATGCGAGTGATTGTATCTATCGATATAAAGAAGGCTTTCGATTCTGTCCCCCATCAATCAGTCATTGGCAAGATGGAGCAGCAAGGCCTCACGGGTAAACAACTAGACTTTGTGAAATCATTTCTCTCGGGACGGGTCTACAAAATCCGAGCTGGATATGACAAAGAGTGTGGAGAAGGAACCCTTCAAGAAAATAACATTGGAGTTCCTCAGGGCGCAGTGTTGTCACCTACACTTTTCAACATCGTTATGGCACCACTCCTCTGGAAACTTTATAAAATACCCAACCTCAGGGCGACGATTTACGCAGATGATATCACGATCTGGACGCATCAAGGGCCTCCCGAAGCCCAAGTTGTCGCCTTGCAGAAGGGACTCGACACCATTAAAGAATATCTTGCTGATGTGGGAATGTTCCTGTCGCCAGAAAAAACTAAATATACCATCTACGGCCGCAATCAAGACAACAAAAACCTAGGTCTTACCTTTGCGGGAGACCCAGTCCAAAAAGCAGACTCTGTTAAAATCCTTGGAATTAACTTTGGGTGCAAGCCAAGAATAAGCAAAGCTTGGCTGGCCGAGATCTCCAAGAAATGGAAACAAGGTATCAATCTCGTCCGAAGAATATCCACGAAAATGGGAGGAGCTGGGGAAAAACCAGCCAAAAAACTCGTGACTGCAGTGCTAGTATACAAAATAGCCTATGCGGCGAGATTCTACCGGCTCACGAAAACCCATCTTTCCAGATTTAAAAGCATGATCAACGGAGCAAGAAAAGCCATCCTTGGGGTCCCACGCCACACTTCGGCAGAGGAAGTAAGCAAGTGCATCTTCCTCCCAGAACTCACAGACCTTATGAACCAACAGAAGGAGGCTCAGCTATCCCGTCTACAACATACAACCGAGGGAAGAAAAATTGCTAAGTACATGGGAATCGAGGTACAAGAAGAGGCCCCCATATCGCCGAGCAAAGCTCCGTGGGAACTCATTGACGTAACTCACGGGTGCAAACCTCTCCCAAGAAACATGGACGCTGCGCGGCACAAGAAAAGACGAGAACACTACGCTCGCATGCACAAGAAGGAGCTGGCTAAGCTTGTTGAGGACGAAAAAAACATGATCGCCTATGTGGACGCCAGCATCTCTTCTATGGGTTGGGCAACAGCAGCCACATACATCCAATGGAATGCGACCTGGACAGAGACTCAAGGTAACCCTCGAGGCCACCACACGCCGGGCTTCGCCGAACGGGAGGCGGTGTTGCAAGCCATCCGAGGGGCAGTACCCCATCTACAAGACGAACAACAGCTAATCGTCTATACCGACTCGCAAGACACCATCAGAGAACTCAAGAAATACAGGTCCTCTTCTAGCCCCACCATTGACGCTATCTTCGCCTTCGCAATCTCACTATACAGATCCAAGAAAATTCAAATTAATGTCAAGTGGACTCCCGGGCATGAAGGCATTTCGGGCAACGAGCTAGCCCATGAGGCTGCACAGCAGGCGATGAGGAATCTCACACAGCCGTCCCTGTTGTCTCAGTCCTCCACGGCAGGCTCAACACCACAGCAACAATACTCTGAGCTTCCCCCATACGATCCAAGGGAGGAACTCAGGTTAGCCCAGAAGACACGAAAACATCTTCTGGCAAGATCATGGACCCCAGAACAACATCCTCTCCCTAGGGAAGAATTCAAGAGAAAAGAATCGGTGATCCTCCGCCGCATACGCACAGGAGGAGCAGTCACACCCAGGTTCAGATACCAAATGGACCTGGCAAGACTTAAGAAACAACAACCCTACGCTGTCCCTCCCGACCCCAGATGCCAGCGGTGTCAAGCCGAGGAATCCATTCCCAGACTTAAACACATACTCTGGGAATGTGTGGCCCTCTCCACCCTCAGAACACTCATCTTCAGTAAGATGGCGAATGACGAAAGACCTTCAAAACTGCAGGACTGGTCGCACCCAGCGGGCGACACCTCACGCAAGACCAGGATCCTCAGATCTCTCTTAGAGTATATTTCTGAGGGAGACCTGGGAAACTCCATCTAACACCTTTAACCGAGGAGACGATGCCAAGCCTTGAGGCCACCGCGTCATGAAAACTTCGAGTCTCCAGAGATATATATTTTTCTCTTTAAATAAACGTATTCACCACCACCACCCCGCTAAATTTAACGAGAAATTGAATTGGTACGTATGTCACGCGACGTCAATTTTCCCGCGAAATCTGGCAGTGAAACTAATTTTTTTTTTTTTTTTCATGTTTTCCCGCTAAATTGAGCGGGTAAACACGAACCGTTAGCTTACTCAAGATGCAAGACGCTACTTCGCCGTCCCGAGTCCTTTTCCCTTCGAACGGAAGCCATTGCGCCCGGAGTACAATACGCAGCTCTTTCAAAACCGTTCGCGCAGCGTCGCATCCGTTCGTTAGCGAGCGACGGCGATTCATCGTGTGCTGAAAGTCGGAAAATGTGCTGTCCGTGGCGTCTTTTATGTATAACTCGTTCGTAAAAAAAAAGAAAAAATTGAAACAGTGTACACGTGATTTTAAATGTATTGGTAAAAAAAAAAATATATATATATATACATATATATACATATTTATTTATCTATTTATTTGTCGACATCATGCACAAAAAAAATAGTCGCGTTAATTTTTTTCAGTTAAAATTAATGTAGGTTATACAGCGTAAAACATAGTATCTTGAAACTCGCATCGTTTTGAGTTCAAAAGCTACACTTAATTGAGCTGTATGTTCACTCGGTATTGACAGCAGGGTAAACGCTAAGCGTGTTTTAGGCCAATCGTGTCTCCGGTTAGGGTCACGTGACTACAGTCTAGAATCTGGTGACAAAGCAGGACATCGCACTTGCCTGGCGCCCAAGGCCACACATAGCATTCACAGCACTGTCAACCTTCGTTACAAGTGACACATCTCCTCGTTGTGGCCTCAAAAGAAAAGCCTTTTCTTCGTGAAACCCCGTTTTGGCTTTTTTTTCAATCCTTTTCTCTCTCCCTAAGCTGAAAGCGTTGTAAAGAGTGAGTGGTCACGTGGTTTGACGGATGACGCATTAGCCGTTGCCGATCTCGGAATGCGTTTAGCCGGACCTAGTTTGGCGTGTGAATTCTCCCTCTGTGGCAGATGCGTATGTTTGCTTCTGCAAGCGATTTCTTCTAAGAAACCCAAGAATCTTTTGTGATGCGTTTAGTGTTCGGTTCTACAAACGACAGCTTGTGCTACGTGTTGAATCTTCACGGGCACCTTCTCGTTTCTGTGTTCGAGTGGTGGTTTTGCCGTGGCCGTGTCGACATCTCCCTCGGACAACACCTTTCAAGTCGCGTCTCGCCAACGTAAGTGCGCTGCAACCTACTTCGTGACAATTCATCGTTTTTCCTAAATGTATTCTTCCAGATTACCTCTAGATTTAGTCCGTGTCTATCTCCTGGCAGCCTGGAGAATCAATGTGCAGAATGTTTCGGCATTGGTGCGATTGCGATACAAGCAGAAAGTTTCGACATGCCGCCGACAAAGTTTTGACGTGTCACCAAAAAAACAACAGCAGCACAGACTCTTAATTACGCGTTCCAAAATTTGACGAGCGGCTTTACGAGTCGCTTGTAGAAAGATTGTTACGGTTTTGCGAAATACTGGTAGACAATGCTAGGTCATCCGCGGACGTATCCCTCTCCTCCCGCTCGTACTTTCTCTAACTTGACGGACACTCTGTCTCGCGGTTCATGCCGACGAAACGATCGTCGGGAAACCGGGTAATTGCTACAGCCGAGCGCGGCACAGTTTACCATTGCTCCCGCTGTGGAGGGTCGAAGAGGCAACTACCAGCACGGTAGATACCGGTTTTTGTTTTTTGTTTTATTCTTGCAGATTTGTTTTGAAAGAAGCCGTGAACGCTACACTTATGCGGTTTGTGCGAGTGAGTGATACGCCCAGGGGGGCGTTATGTAGTTCGCTAATCTTTACGATAAGTCGGCTAATTAAATGCAATTCAATTATTCACTTTTAATTAGTGAAAATAGACATATGGTTTTAATTAGAAACTTGCTGAGCGTCGTCCAAAACCCCTAAACCAGTCATTTTTAGAAAGACTGAGCGCGTGTGAAGCGCAGTAGTGCCCTGAAGTTACCACTCGTGGACCAGGTACAAGGCTGGGGCTAGAAAAGAGACAGAAAAATTGCGCGAGCGCCTCACCGAATCCGCTAGCCTTTTACCTGCTCCACGAGTGGTGGCTTTAGTGCGCTTCTCACGCGCTGAATGTATTTCTGAAAATGACTGATTTAGGGATTTTGGACGACGCCCCGCTAGCTGCTTATTGGAACCGTATGTCTATTTTCACTAATTGAAAAGTTCATTAGTGAATTTTGATTAATTACCCGAGTAATCGCAAAGCTTAGCGCCCACTTAATGTCCCCTGGGCGTATTACTCACTCGCAGAAACCGCATAAGTTTAGTTTTCATGACTTTTTTTAAGAACAAATCTGCAAGAATAAAAATAAAAAAGCACCCTGATATGGGAGGCAGATATACCTCTATTTGGCAGACCCAGATATGGATATATAAAAAATTGGGCAGATCTGGTTATATAAGGCTTATATAAACTGATGTGCTTGATATGGCCAGATCTGCCCAATTTTTTATATATCCATATTTGTTTTTTTTATATATAAGTCCAGATCTGCCATTTTGGTAAGGGCTGGAGGGCGCGGAACAATTTGAATATTGGTTTGGGCATCACCTTCGTCTACCGTTTTCTCATATAGCTATTTTTAGAATTCAGATATAATAAATAGGATCTCGGAAAGTCTAAAGCGTGGGTAGATATTGAAAATGTGTTTTGTTTGGATAGCTCGAGAAACCTCCGGAGCTGCCCTTAAAAAAATACAAAGCTTCTTGGTATGCAGCATTTCAGCCTGTAACACCCAGGCGAAAAAAAAAAAAAAAAGGCGTGTCACTGGTTTTTGAACACATGCACCGAATCTGATATATTTGTCTAAAGAGAGCTGTAGCAGATGCTCAGGATGTGTTGCGCATTAGGCAAAGATGACAGCGCTCAGACTACGAATATAGGAATGTTCTAGAGTACCGTACAATAAATCTTAACAAAACACTTATCTATACCGATTCTTTTCTTTTTTCCTTTTTGCATGAGGTGTTTTTTTATTTACGTGCCCGTAAAAAAAAATAGGCTTTTAAGGCATTAGGCGAATCTTTGGGAAGGAAGTTTCTGGAAGAAGCACACGGCAACAAAACCGAAACCTGTTGTGTCAGAGCGAACCGTGAAAAAATAAGCTATTAGGAGCACTTAACACCACAAAAAAGCCACAAAAAAAAAAAACCTGTTTTATTTACAACTAAATTTAAATTTTTCGGCAAACAATCCATGAATCGAAAAAAAAAAAAAATAAAACGATTGGGTCACACTCGACGGCCATTGCTTGACACCAGGCAATACACGCAAGTCTATGGGAGAAACGCACAAAAGCACGAATATTGAAGCATGTACGCTGTGCTGGGGGCGAGTATTTTATGGTGTGCTGCTATCCTTATGTCGGGTGTTTAAGATCAAATCGGCATTCGTCAAACGTTCGAACTCCGATTTAAAAAAAAAAAAAAAAAATTAAACATACCTTAGCACCTTCGGCTGAGCTGGCAGGCTTGCTCTCGTAGTGGAGTGAACAGAGGAACTTGCCGTCAATGAGACCGTCCTCGGGGAAGCCCAGAAGTTGATGAATGACAAAGAAGTTCCATCTTGACAGCGGCTTTCCGGGAGTGAGCGAATTCCGCGTAGCAAAGCCTTCGAGCTTGTCGTCTGCTAAACCCAACTCAACGAAACCGCCACCGACTCCGCGGTAACTCTAGGTAACTCTCGCCTCATTGAGCTGCACTACAGCGGAGTCACTCTTGATCACAAAATATTTATTTATAAAAACTGCGAGGGCTGCCAGTTTAGTCTTTGTACGCGAGCTATTTGACGGGCCTATCGAACAGCATCGAAAAAGTTTCAGTGCCGACATCAGCTTAGAAACGGGGGAAACGGCACTCTTCCTCGTTCTTCCCATAAAGTCCCATGCATTGGCTGGTGTCAATCAATGCCCGCCGGTGGCGACACTCGGCCCCTGCTGCCGAAGCCGCGGTCCGTGATCCAGCCTACGACAACAGAGACCAGTGATCCTGGCTCAACCGTTTGTTTTGGTTTTCGGCGGTTTCGTAAAACATTAATTCATTCGATGAAGTACTGTTCATTCATCTGCATATTTTCGTGTCTATATATATATATACATACATATATATATATATATATATATATATATATATATATATATATATATATATATATATATATGGGTGGTTTCATCTCAAATCGTGCAGGCAAAAAGGGTCGAATTTTTAATTTCGATGAAAAAAATATATGTTATGGCGCCGTTTCTAAAACCGCAGTCGACACAAACCGCAAGTTCGTCCGATTTTTTGTTCTCGACTTATGAATTTTTAAAGAGGCCGCGGCGAAAAGCAGTGTTTTTCACACCCGTCGTGGGTCGGATGTTTCGCTTGATCTCCCGCCATGGATTTTCAGTCCACATTATATTAGCTTTTTTCAAGCACTCTGTGGACACATTTAAAAGGCTCCAATACCATAAAATAATTTTAGGCCTTTTTCTTTTTTTCTGTAAAAATGTCAAAAACGCCTCCTCGGTCAATTGTTGACGAACTTTGACAATTAATTACTGGCGATCTACTTGGGTTACACCAATATTTTTTATGTCCACGGAGAGCCGAAAACACGCTCTTTATATTTATTATAAAATGATTTGGCTGTATAAAATATCCTTTGCGGTACGTTTACGTTAATATTATGCAAAAACCAAAAAGTCCCATTTTTGAAATTGATTTTCTCACAAAAACCATTTTTTTTTTTTTTTTTGTTCAAATGTAGATATGATAGTTGTCTACACGAAACTTAAGCCTAGAAAGTGTATATTTTGTTTGTATGTTCTACATTTAAGCATCAATATCGTACAAAAACGTGTTTTTACGGCTCGAAATGGACTTGCGAATTGCGCGTCTTCACAAGCTTGGAAATAGTTTTTTTCTTTTTTTTCAACGTTCCCACTTAAAAATGAAATACAGT